AGATATTTCTTCAGCGCCAGCTTTCCAGGGTCGCCCATGGTGATCCTGGCAAGATTACATCCTTCGATTCCATCGTACCTCTTCAGGGGTTGGGCATGGGTGTGACATTTGGCTAGTTCCGCAATTGTCTAAGTCATCAGGCCGTAGGTGCCTCTGGGTCTTAAAATTCCAAGTCCAGCCGCTTCCTTGACTAAAGAGTCGGCAATGCGGTTACCTTTACTCCTATCGTGCCCTTTAAACCCACCTCAGGATAATGTTATTATCTACCGAGGCTTTGGATAAATCTTGGTGGCACTCTAGTACTAGCCTTGAGGTAACACTTTGTCTGTTCAAGGCTAATAGGGCTCGTCTGCTATCAGTGCAGATTGTTATGTTTTTGCCAGAAATTCCTTTACTGGTTATTTCTTTTGTAGCGATTGAGATACCAGCCAGTTCTTTTTGAACCACGCTGGTATTTTCCCATTCCCCACTTAACCCTTAGGCTTAGTGATCTGGAGTACACTCCACATCCTGAGCCTTCTTTGGTTTTTGAGCCGTCTGTATATATGCGTTTTCATTATTCATAATGGAAAAATTTCATATGGGTTCTTTTTATTTGTATCTGAACCATTTCATTCCTATGAATTATTTCCATTGATATTTTGGAATTTTTCGTCTCTATAAATTAATGGTGAAGTCGAATGCCTAAAGGGTTTTTCCCACTATACTTTTCATAACGTATTGAATACATGTTTTGTTTCAAAAGGTTTTTATTCATTTCATTTGCAGATTTCTTCAATGCAGTTAAATTAATTCACCCACAGAGAAGACAACTTTAGAAAGTCACGTTCATCAAAATAATTCTAGAATCCAGAGAATTGTTTTAGTGAATGATAAAATTCAAACTCCTAGTTATTTACGTCTCTACTTTGGACATTTGACCTTTTTTCACATTTTTAGAATAGATTAATAGTGTAGGTTACTGTGATAATGTCTGTTTTCTTATTTTTATATTTCAGGTTTACTAACCTACATTACTCTTTACGTGATGTGACTATTTCGACACCTATATGTCAAATGAAAATAAACATTATTATTATCATAACAACGGTCCAATTTCACTATTTCAATGATTAGTAAGTTTGACGTAAAATTATTTCAGGTGTTTTTTCAAACTCAAATGCCCTTTACTCGATTCTGGAAGCTTCTGGTTCCACCACAGGTGATAGAGTGTGGAGGCTACCTCTTTGGAAACACTTCACGAAACAAGTGTGTGATTTTCCTGCATACGATTTGAACAACATTAGTCGAAGCAAGGTAGGAGGAAGTTGTACGGCAGCCGCTTTTCTCAGAGAATTTGTTCCGGAAAAGACGGAATGGATGCATTTGGATATTGCAGGCGTTATGGGGCCAGATGACAATTCACCCTATTTGCACAAGGGCATGACAGGTAGACCCACAAGGACTCTGATAGAGTTCATACAGTCTCAGTCAAAATAAGATACAAGTTTATTTTAGTTGATTAGGTAAATCAAATTATGCATTTCCTGCATGTTTTGAAAGGAAATATTTCACTTACCATTAGCACTAAGTCCTAATTGGTAAATCAGAGTTCAAGTCTTATCAGTGTGTAGCTACAATATGAGTTGCTTTTTGTATCTGTTGTTCACTGTATGTTTATAATAAAAGAATCCTGAATGAGTGTATTCCTTTATTTATTTTAATTCATATCACAATTTTGAAATTCGGTAACGTTGCACGTAAAAAACAGCACAATACAAGAACAACCTCAATTTACATGGTAACTGACAAGTATTTGTTTGCTGTATTATGTGCCCTAATAACAATCACAGAAACATTAAAACATTTTCAAATTGCCAGTAAAATATCACCAACGTGCTCAATATATTGAAAATGGTGTACCAATTGAAATTGCCTAGAAACAACCTGTTGGTTGATTTTCAATTAGATAATATTCAATTTGACAATTCTCAATGGAGTGCTAAGCAAAACTTAAATTAACAACGAGTAAAATGCACAAATCCCCAAAAATAAAATGCCCGTGTCGATATTAAAACTAATAAACAGATCATATAAATAAAATAATTACACTTATAGAATGATTTGTATGAGATTTTCCCATCGTTTCATTGCGTTCTTGAATTTTAAAGTTTTTAGGGATATTATGATTTATGACAACAGGCCAAAAGCAGATATTTTTTAAAATTGAAAAATAACCCTTTATAATATGCTTCCTTGTTTTATGGCTCTGCTCTTCAAGCAATTTACCGGTCTTTCAGATTGTCTCACTCAAGTTAATACCACAAATTGCTGATTCCCTACTACATAATACTTTGTTTTCTCCCTGTCTCTTCTTTCCTGCTAATTAATATCTTGACATGAAAATGATATAAGGATGGTAAAGGCAGTTAGCGCAATAAAGAAATATACTATACCAAAGCTATTTTCTGGGTTCATTGCCTTTGTCTGCGGGTTTTTTACCAACGTTTCGTCTACGATTCCGGCAGACATCAAGGTGATGAGGAACTGTGCAAAATAGTGACACATATAAGTATGTAGTATAATTCATTATAGTTTGAATTAAGGTTGGCGAGAGAGAAATATAGATAAATTGTGTCCAATACCTTTCAATAGAATAATTAAATGGTAGGATTAAATTCATTGAATTTTCTGTTAAAGATCCTAGATTATCAAAATCAAATGGGAAAAGCTCAAACATTCATAAAAACATATAATATATAACAAATACTGAAAAATGTATGGAATTGAAAAACCAATTATCAAAATATCACTTATACTTCAATTTTCAGCTGGAGTAAATTATATTTACTCATATTGCCATTTTGAATTATTCTAAAAGTTTTAAATGAAATATCCATTAATAATATATTTTTAAGGAAAGGGTGATCTAATATATATTCGAGTAAATAATACTATGATTATTCGATCCTTCCTGCGGAACAAAGAAACCTTGAGTTTTTATCTGTATATATCAAACGTGATTTTCAACTATGAAAAATTTTAATCTCTTATATAATGGTGTTAGACTCTCTACCAACACTTCTGATAGTAGTAATAATCATGTGTATTGTTACTGACAATTTATACATCTACGAATATCAAATAAACTTTATTCCTCAATAATCTATTCGATATTAACAGAAAGTATGAAACCTTATTATCTCTTATTGTGTTTGCCGATCAATAGATAAAGAGATTTCAAACACTTGTAAGTCGAAGAGCGTGCAGCATTTTGCACCTATAATTATGGTTTAATTATCTCTGTCAATATCATACAGACTATAGTGGAGATTATATTTTTACTTTTTATGCAAATGACGAGTTTGTTTTTTCAATGTCTTTGATTCTCAAAAAAATTTATGAGAAAATCTTAGTCACTTATTTTATTTATTTATGGTACTAAGAACAAATCTTTGAAAACAATACCTACAAGAATTTATTTCCATTTTATTAAAAAAAAATCGAGACAAAATAAATTGAATTTCTATTTTTACATTCACTAATACTATTTAATTAATGATAGATGATGGAAAGTAGCAATAAATGGATTAAATGATATCTTGGAAGATAATCTCACAGTAAACTGCCTAATCCCATCTTAGTAGAAATATGTTTCAATTATTCAGTGTTGTCAAAATAGTGAGAAGTGAAATTAGAGTTTCAGAATAAGACAGTTGAATAGGAACAAAATGAAAGATTCCTGAGCTATCTATTGGTACAGACTAACGGACATTATTTTATTGAGACCTGGATATATGGAATAAAAACCAAACTCAGATCAATTCAATCTCTAATGTTTATTTACTGTCATTTATTCAGAAACTATAAAATATTTCTCACATTTCTGTGATTTGAAGTAATCAAATTTTTATTGTTTTATATCTACTCTATAGAATCCTTTCAACCATATATATGAGAAATAATGAAGTTTGTCCATGAAACTTTCACGATAATTTATCCCTATTTGCTTGAAAATTCTCATTCTTGTGGTGAAGTAATCAATTTTCGTGTGTTCAATGTTTCAATAAGTTATTCATAAAAAATCACTGAATGCATTTTTAGAATGCTAATACGAATGTGTCATTTCAGGAATTGATAAATTTTATGAGAATTTAATATTTTTGATGTTAGATATCCAATCTTAATTCATATGAAACATAACATGAGACTTCGAACCTCCAACTCTAAATATAATTTCAAACCGTTGTACTTTTGGTACTCATCAGACATAAACTTTATTGTATTGACCTTTTTTGGGTTTTTTTCACCTTCCACAATCTGAAAAATATAAATATTGTAACGGAGTATTTTTCACAAACTTCACCATTACAATTTTTATATTTTACAGTTTGTGGAAGGTAAAAAACCTCCTAAAAATTATCCTCCACAAAAAATGACTCTCATTAAATATAAACTTTATTATTAATCAATTGTATATATTCATAAAGCTAATTTAAATTCCCAGTCTTGAGAAAATCCTTTCAGTACCTCAATTGCTTCAATAACGATTTTATTGCATAGATTGTCAAGGAATGTGAAAGTACCTTTGTATATTTACTTTCAAAGGTAAAAGATCAAATTATTTTTTGAGAAACAAAATCTATATCATTCATTTGATGCAAAACATGTTTTAGATTCAAGTTTCTATCCATTCAGATTGAAATTTTTATACTATTGTTAATCAGAAGTATCTGACCTGGCATATTGATATAAGTCAAAAGTGTGTACATTTTACATGAAGAAATTCCACAAAAAGCTACAAATCAATATCTTAAAATATTTTAATAGAGTATATGGTGATGTTTCGCAGATTTTGGATTGATTCACTTCATAAATGAGATGAAGGATCGTCACAACAAGGGACTGAAAAAAATCTGTTTTTCCGTTAACCAGCTGTCGCACCCCTACGAACGACAACCCTCAGAAGTCGAAACTTGTGCGAGCTAAGGATTAACGAGGTATTACCTTTTAACGTGTGATTCCTAACACGGGCGAATCAACATAAAACAAGATGAATACAGTTTCATATAAAGCAAAGATCATGTCAGTTATTTGGTTGTCATAATTTTATTATTTTTAAAAGGCAAAATAATCCATGGCGAGTATTGAGCTAATGAATCGGATCATTACAATGATGAAATCAAGGAAAAAGAAGGCGTTAGTAAAAAAGAAAGTGTTTGATAAAAAATGCAACACTGATCCTACATTTTTTACCACATTCTCCAAAATCACTAGATTAATGTTCAAATTACATCCTCACACTTCATATTTCCTAGATTTAGCGTCCTTTTATTATATGATGAAAGAGTTGTCAATAAGGAAGGGTTGATGTCTATTTTGAGACTGTCAGTTTCAATTTTAACAGGGTATTATAGGAAGTGAACATCGCTATGAAAAGACTGAATCGAGCTAGAACTAGTCCACATAGGAAGTAAAAACTTTTTTTTACAATTTTTTTTGTAAGGACAGGTACTTTCATGGCAATTCGTGCATGTACTTTGAAAACAGAATATTTCAATGGTAACATGTATTTGAGAGATATGTAAAACTTTTTTTCAAAATTTTTTGTCATGAAAATGAATCCTCCGCAAGAAGAATCGAAATACATACACACTAATGATTAGGCGTACAGTTGAGAAAATACTCCTGCCAACATTCCTGTTGTTGTGGAATGTAATGCTGCAACTTCGCCGGAAGTAAATGCATCCCGGCCGGGGAGGGGGTATTAAGGGGACATATAGTCCGGCAAAGTCCCACGGCCACGACCTCTGCCTCTTCCCCTTCCTCTACCGCGCCCCCTCCCTCTCCCGCGTCACCTGCGACCATCGGTTATCCCTGCGAAATCAGATTTTTTTAAAAAGTAAGGTCGTCCTGCAACCTCGACCTAGGATATACTCTATATACTGTAATACTCTAGACCAGGGGTTCCCAAATTTTCAGGCACTGCAACGCCCTTTTAAGGCCGAATATTTAAAAACTACACTTTTTGCAAAGTTTTATCCATAAAAACACTAGTAACTAGTAAAATAAGCATGAATTTTTGTCACTTCAATCATTTTATAATATATAATATTCATGCGGTCATTGTTCACTGTGGTTCTGGCGTTGAATTTGGTCATTATTACGCCTTGGTCAAAGACGAAACGGACTGGTTTAAGTTTGACGATAGTCGGGTCAAGAAGTGTTCTGGCAATGTATTGAATCTATTGGAGCCTCTGGAGATACCCTACATTTTGTTTTATGAGAGAGAGGGCATTGGCAGATCAAGATCTTCAGGTGATGTGGTGCTGCAGGTTTTTCCGGGTTTTCCTGCAGCTGAAAAAGCAAATGCGCCACTGGAATCAATGAAGTCGCCCCGGAGCGCCAATTAATTTTTATTGTTTTTATTTTTATCGTTGTTTTATAATCTCACAAATAAGAGACAGTAGTAGACCTCACTCGCAGTAGTAGATTCGCGCTTCTTCAAGCTCAAGCTTTTACTTTCAACAATGCTTGTATTGAAATGGAATATCCGGAACTGTCCACAACAGCATTAAAAACTTTGATGCCATTTTCTACACCTTACAACTGTGAACAAGGACTTTTATAATGGTGAATTTAAATATAAAATTAAGGAATCGTTTGACACTGAAAAATTACATTGTTTTGTATGTTACAAAAGTCATTCCAGACATTAAAAAATTGGTTAATTACAAACAAGTTCATATTTCACACTGATAGAATTAAAAAAAAAACTTGTGTGTGCACAAAAAGCTTGTACATTTTTTTTTTTAAGCAACGACTGATTTTTTTTTCTTTCTCGATATGTCGCAACAACCTGGACACATCCCACGACTCCCCAGGGGATTGCGCCCCCGTTTGAGAACCCCTGCTGTAGAGGATTAATAGTACCTATTCTAAAAGTCGAAATTTCTACTTGATATTCAAAATTTTGACTTTCAACTTGAAATTTTTACTTTGCAACAAATTTTGATTCAACAGTTCAAAATTTATAGATGTTAACACATATAAAAAAGAGAAAATTACATGATCGGTGTTTGTGTTGATTTCAAACCTGAACTGATTATCATCAATATTATTGTTAAACTCTTTCATGTAATACTTTGTGAGATTTTCACTGGACAGTTTACAAAACCCCAACAAGCGTTTCGCTATACAATAGGTAGCTATTTGTTTGAAGGTGATTGACAATGTTTCGTGATGAATTTCACTAGTTCGGACTTCCATTGTCTATTATATAAAATGATTTGAAATCCCTGTAATATAATTGTTATTTTCAACTATTCTTCTTTAATCATTCTTTTTTACTTGTTTCAGGGATTTCAAATCATTTTATATAATAGACAATGGAAGTCCGAACTAGTGAAATAGGTAGCTACTTTGAGCGCTTTTGTAAATTGTCCAGTGAAAATCTCACAATGAATTGTTACTTGAATAAGTTATGGATTTTCATCAAGTGTCGGCCAATTCCATCACATATCTCAAAAACTGATTTAACCTTTTTGCAGTAGGCGGGTTGAGTTAAACAGAACCTAAGGTAGACATCTCATTCTCCACCCTTGTGCATTTGAATCATCCGATTTGCTTATAAAACTGCAATTTACTGAAATTATACTTGTGAACCACAACCCCTGAAAAGTAGTAAATCCGAAAGGAGTATTTTTTTATATTCAGTATGAAAAGTTCAAAATATTTCTTTTTAATATCTCCACAACAGTTCTGGAGATGTTCTTTCAATAATAGTATGATTACATGACGTTATTGACTTTTTGGTTCACTATGAAATTCTCTAACAATTTTTCATTGAAACTCTTCATTCAAATCATGATGTTCACATATATACGTGGACTGTTTCGGGCTACGTACATTCGATTAAGCGATTTTTTAATTTTTTTAGAAGTGTTTTGCGTGTTCGACTATTTTCTGCTATCTAAAAAATGGATCAGAGAATTTGCGTAAAAAATGGAACTAAGTGCTCAAAACCACTTGAAATGTTGACAGTTGACATGAGTCAGAAAAATGTTTACAAGTGATACAAGCTTTTCACAGAAGGTCGAGAAAATGTGAAGATAACGCTCGCCATGGACGGCCCGGCTCATCAAATGTTATGTTGTAAAGGTAATGTAAATGTTGAGAAAGTGAAGAAAATTGTTATGAAGAGTTGTCGAGTCACTATTAGAGAAGTTCCTGAGCATCACTCATAAATTGTTGGTTACCGGTGACGAATCATGGTTATGACATCGAAACCAAAGTCCAGTTTTCCCAATGGAAGAGCACAGGAGAGCCAAGACCAAAAAAGCGCACCAGTTCGATCAAATGTCAAGGTTTTGCTCACTGTTTTCTTCAATTACTGTGGCGTGGTGCATCAGGAGTTCTTGCCACATGTTCGTAATTTCAATATGGAGTATTATCTTGAAGTTGTGAACCGCTGCCAAGAAGGAATACGAAGAAAATGTCAGGTATTGTGGAAAAACAATTCATGACTTTTGCACCACGATAATGCACCTGCTTCTTCATAATTTTTTTACCAAAATCAACACTGTAATCATGCCTCAGCCACCGTATTCACCAGATTTGCCCCTCTGCGACTTTTGTCTGTTCGTAAGATTGAAGAGACCCATGAAAGTACGGCATTATGCGACGATTGAGTACATACCACAAAGTGCACATCAGAACTGCTTGGAGGATTAGAAAAAACACTGGCACAGGTGTATTATATCTGAGGGGAACTACTTTGAAGGGAAAATTAAGAATACCAACATATTTTTTGAGAAAAATGAAAATTCTTTTTTAACAGAGAAGTATATGAAAATTGAAAAATCTCAGGAACTGTCAAAGCCACCAAAAAATGACCCATTACCCTTATTGTTCATCATGTAGTTCCCTACAAAAAAGTTCCTATGCTGCAATTATTAAAAATTGGTGATTTCAGGTGAGGAGGAAACAATTGAATTGAACCGCTCAAACAAAAACTAGAAATTTTCAACTAACTCTATACTTTCAGTGATTCGGTTGAAATTCTAGATTCTGTTTAGGTGGCGCGGTACCATTGTGTTCAAAAAAACTCTGTGTCCGGCACATTATTTTTAATATCTAGGTAGAAAATTCTGCATAGAACAACTATAAATACTAAATGGGCTCATTCAGGATAATTTAGTTTTTTATCCCACAAAATTTTCCGGTTTTTATGTCAATTAAAAACTGAGCAAGAGCAATTGAAAATGTGATATCGCCCGCGGTACATCCTGACGTTACACCAAGAAATGAGCTTCGAGCGGTGGCAACCGGGCCTGTAGTTGGAGATTATGAATCGCTGCCATCGTCGGATTTTGTTTCATTTGCTGACTGGTTTGAAAACACCACGTGTTACATATTCACGCAGTTGATACACTGCAGTAAACAACACACAACTTGCTCTCTACGGCTTCAGTACACGTATGTATTTTGCTTATCTGCCAGCACTGGCGGCTGATGTGACGTCAAGTTTGACCACGCCCCGTTTCGGTGAACGCCACGTTCAACTATTAATTTGAAGGGGAAGATAAAGAGTGAAAATTCAGATTTTTTCAAGATGTACTATTCGAAGTATAAACTTTCAAATAATGAAATAAAAAAAAAATTGGTAAATGAGCCCATTCAGAGGAGAAGGCTATACCAAATTTTACTCAAACTGAAAGAAACGTTTTTTTACTGATATTGAACAAAATACTTGCATATTGGGCAATAATTCTAATGACTGCACCACTACCACAACTGCATAGTATATATGTTTGACTAGAATGGCATGAATTATTACAGAAACTCAAATTCTATAAGAAGTGATAATTGTAGAAGAGAAATGAATCTGATTCAATCTAATCATTTACTGGTATTTTGATACTTATTTTTCAGCAATACCTCTTACTCATTGAAAAACATGTACTTTAATTGGTATTATTGAACTTGTTAAATACATATATAAAACGTTTGACAAAATATTTCTTGATCCTGATATTACATAGATCATAAGATATTAAGGGAAATATTTCAATCATTTGATGTTTATCGTATTATTCAGAGATAATCCCGAGGGAATTCACTGACTGCCACTGCATTCGTAATTTGTTTAGGCAAAAAACTAACTACTTTTTACTCTACACAATGTAAAACAATAAAAGAAATAAGTGTGTGTATCTACCTATATTACTTGTAGTTTTTTCCAAATATGCTAAAGGTCCTTGTAAAACCCCAGCTGGTGCCTGTTGTCCAAAAGGACTTCGTGAGGGTCCCATTCCTTGTTGCTGCATAAATAATGCTTGCTGAGGGGACATCACTCCTGGCCCCACTGCTCCACTGAGGCTGGGACCTACCTGAAATGCGACAAAATTTGTTTTCCTTCATCTACAATTCATTGGATAAGCATTTCTAAAGGTAACGTTTCAGTACCATGGTCCTGAATCAAAAAAGGATTGAAAATAATAATGAAAGACGCAAAAAAATAAAATTGAAAATAAGTGAAAACAGTGAAAGAAAACAGTAATGACACAACAAACACAGATGATTGTTCAATAATAGTATAAATAATGAATATTACTGGAGTTTTTTTCCAACCCAAACACCTCGACACGTGTTTCGATCACCAAGTGATCATCTTCAAAGAGGAAGATTAAAACTGAGTTTTAATCATGTGTCGTGTCGAGGTGTTAAAAATAACGATTTGGTGTTGGGAAAAAAAAAAACTCTAGTAATATTCATTACTACACCAAAGGTTCCAAACAGTGCATCATAAATAGTATAAATAAAAGATGAACTGCCATATAGTTCTGAAAGAGTTCAAGAAACTATAAATTTTTAGCTGTACTTAAAGAAGATGACACGCAACAAAGCAAGGAAAACCAGGATTACAAATGTTTGTTTTATTGGTCACAAGTACACCATGGTGTCTGGACAAGTCACATAAAATACACATATATGACATATAAAATTGTACATTATAAATTATTTACATTGTAAAATTACAACATGATTACTAACACATGACATATGAAACAAAATTTAAAAGTGAAACATAAACATATTAAGGTCCATATAGATTATTAACAAATATGTAAGTCATATTTATAAATAAGAGTTAGGAGTATTATGTAATAATTTGAAACAAATTCAACCAAAAGAATGAAAAATAACAGGAATTGTATTTCAAATTAACTTAGGACAATTCGAAATCATTTACTTCGTAGTAGGCTTTCCTCAACAGAATACTCTTCAGTTTCTTTTTGAATATTTCCAGAATTGAAATAAAAGATACACAATCTTTTATTTCAATAGTTAAATTATTGAACAGTCTCATTCCTAGATAATTGCGACTAGTACTTGCTAATTTATGTTATGTTGTCTCTATTTCTTGTATTATAATTATGATTATCACTAAGTGTCTGATAGTTGCTAATTTTTTTTTATGAATACCAAGTTAGTATATATGACTGATGAAGGTAACGTCAAAATACCTAGCTGTACAAACCACGGCTTACAACTTTCCAATCTGTTTAAACCTACAATTGCTCTAATTGCTCTTTTTTGGAGTAAAAAAATAGGCTGTAAGTAGATAGAGTGTCCCCAATTTAATAATCCATATGTCATAACATTATGAAATAGTGAATGGTATGCCATGATAGCCGCTTCCCTACCTAAATTAATTTTAACTTGTCTAATAGCATAAATGGCCTTAGATAACCTACTCGAAAGATTGTCTGTGTGAGTTTTCCACGACAAGTTGCTGTCCAAGTGGATTCCTAAAAACTTTAATGACTGAGCATCATTTCCTTGGTTTGAGAATATCATAGAAGCTGTTTTCGCTTTATTGATTTGTAATTTATTTGCGTTGAACCAATCATTAGCTGACTCAGTTATCTCCTGGATAACGGTGGTTTCCTCTCCTTGTCTTACACTCGTATAAAATGTTGTGTCGTCGGCATATAAGATAGTCTTCATATTAATTGAAGAGGGCAAATCGTTAATATATAAGAAACAGCAAGGGTCCAAGAATACTGCCTTGTGGTACTCCATATTCTATTGGGGATTGTTTACTGAATTTATTGTCATGGTACACAGATTGTGTTCGATTTGTCATATAAGATCGCATCAAATCAAGAGATATACCTCTGAGACCATAGTATTCCAGCTTTTCGAGTAAAATATTTTTTGGACTCCAAATGGTAGGCGATTGTGGTAACAAGATATCTTGTTGAGAATTAAGTCATAAAATAATAAAAATATATTTTGCATATGTATATATGAAATAAATATTGTATTGTATCATTTGAAAGGCTAATGTGATTCATTCAAATCACATTAGCCTAAAAATATACCCCTTTTAATTCGAACAAAATTCCTATGGATGGGATTAAATCAAATATGGAAATGAATGTTATTAAGTACTGTCATCAATGACATGAGTAGATTTAACTCATTCGTGACATGAAGTCGTAATTTTATGAATGAATTGAGTGCTTCATCTCATAATGTTATCCAGATTGGTGCTAAAGGCAGTAAGGCAAGTGTCTTATTCCGAAACATCGGATGTCCGCCATTTAGGATGACAGTGTTCCATATAAGTTGATTTTAACCAAATTGTGTAGCAATCCTATGAGTAATATTTGATTCAATTCCATAACGAATGTTTGGAGTAGTATGAACTGAATAGGAAAAAGTGTTTTTGGTATAACTCAATGTTCATATAAAAGTAGTTGTTTCGAGAGGGACTTTTCTTTCAGATTTGCGTCTGAAAGTTACTTATTTGCATGGTCTACACATCTTTGTAAATTATTTTGCAAATTATTTTGAAATTATTTGCCTTATTTCTTTCTTTCCCACATTTTTTGTATGAAGATGAGGAAGTAGAAAGTCAAAACCTTTCTTTCCCAAGAACACATCAATCTCTTTTTCATTAATGGCCATACTAACTTACTGGATCAAACAGAATTGGATCTGAATCCAACTTTATAAATTCATAGGATAGACAAAAAACAGAATTTGGTCTCACAATGAAACAATATATAGTTATTTCAAACTGCAACAGTTTCTTGAAATGCATGCAAAAAATAGAGTGTCCAAATTCTTTCCCCATAGTTATCAGCTAGCTTTATTATAATATATAAATTTGACTTTAACACTTCATGTGTAGCTGAGGAAAATCATACACAATAGAGTATGTCCTTCCAAATAATTGTTGTGGTTCTCAGATATCTCAAACAGTTAGAGAAGTTTTTCCAAATTCTATTTTCTTCAAATTATTCAAGGTTGAAAATAGCCCATAATATGACCTTAAATTCGAAATAATTTTTCCAACGATAAAGCCATTCGTGATTATCTTAATAACATTCAGAAACACCTGACTATAACCATAATTGGTGATGTTAGTAATGATGAATTATCAGTAATAATGGAAAAATTACGTCAAACTTTTATCTCCTGATTCATTAGTTGAACAGATATCAGGAGTAAGAGGAATTTTCAAATTTGTATTTGAAAGAAATTGACGTTCTATTTTTAATTCCAAGCAGTTTCCACAGATTAATTGGGGGTAATGTACTAACTGAAATTAAAATATTTTAAAACTGAGTCGTATGCTTGTTTCATGTGGATAACATCTATGTTTGTCCTTACAGTAATCTAGTTTCAAATTTTCTAGCGAATTCTTGAAGGTTTAACAAACTACTAACTGATTCCCGGTTCTCCGTGGTCCGTACATTTTTAGGTATGACGTTTCGTTCACAGTTGAGGCAGATATCTTCAGAGACGATACAGCAATGAGCGAAGTGATTGCAATTGAAACATCAGACCTGAAAACCTACGGATGACGTTTAATAAACCAAAATACAGCCAGTAATTTGTTAGATACCGACCACTAAAACCTATAGGTACTCCCTAAAAGTTTGTTTGCTACTTCTTTCGCTTAAGTTTTTCTTTCAGCCCTGACCAAAAACGAATTTTCTACTTTGAGGAAGATAAATATGACAAGCCACTCTCTAAGGTACTCGTTTGGTCTGACCAGTGCATCGTTTTTGAGGCCAAACTACGCTTTTGTAGCGACCTCTTGCATACTACTGAGAATTTGAAAAGTTTGAGTTATTTTACGGCTTACCAAAAAATATGAGGTAACAGGTATTCGTTGTATAAGTCCTACTTTCTCAATCTAACAAACCAAAAAACATTCATACCCATAACATACTCAAAAATATTGTTTGTATTTCTCTATTAGATTTCATTTTCAGTAATTTGCTGATGAAGAAAATTCAAATAATGAAACGTGTGTCGTGAGAATGTGCTATAGGTTTGGTGTGTGAGAAAAGTGTTTCCATTTGATTAATTTCAAGTCAAAGGTTCCAATTCTACCTGAAAAGTCTTGACAAGATTTGAGGTTGAAATTGGTATCAGGTTGTTTCAAAAGATTTGTTAGTTTAAAATCTGTTCAAAATCTGTTTTTCCATTAATCAGCTGTCGCCCCCATACGAACGACAACTCTCAGAAGTTGAGAAACTTGTGCGAGCTAAGGACTAACGAGGTCTTACCTTTTAACGTGTGATTCCTAACACGGTTGCAGAATCATACCAGCTTCAACCAGATAAATTATCTCGAGAAAAATATCTGGTCGAGGCAGGAATCGAACCCACGGTCTTCCGATAGTGAGTCAGGCGCACTACCACCGCGGCCAATTCTAGTTTGAATGTCATATCTCAATAAATATTCATTCGTGGTATATACTGAGCGATAGAGAATTTTGTACTCTGTAGATTGATGCTGTTCACTTTTTTCAAATTTTGATGCTTTGCCTCTTTTCAGCTCATCACTGATGTTAAGCGATTTTCGGCCAATTTTTCTCAACGAATTCAAATTGAACTAAAGCTGCAAATTCAGTCTACCATCACTGTGAAACCCCAGAAATTTTGGAATGTATTCACTCTTGATAAACCCACTTCTAATGCCAAAGTGACATCACTGATCTTTGTGTCTTCTAAAGAAAAAGTTTATTTGAGTTCCATTTTCTAAATACGTTAATATCATTATGATTTTTTTTTAAGAAATCTAATACAACAGTTCCATATTGAAGTGGTATTTTTACATTTGGCAAATCATTAACAAATATAAATGAAGAGCGGCCCCAATATAGAATCTTTAGGTATGCCTGTCTTCATTTCCGCTTCATCAGAGAGTGTCGTTTTATTTTAAAGCTTTAACCCAACGAGTAGGAACTACACCTTTTTTGTAATTTGTTGGATTAATGATTTCACACCCTGTTAGTTGCACGTTCTGTATATGGATCTGCCATGTTTTTGTGTGACGATAGGTATTGGGTTTTACATGACACAAC